GTGAATTTCTCTGTGATCATACATGCCTCGGTTTAAAGTCTGGATGTCCTGTACAGGGCTCATTCAAGCCTTTTCAGAGATATCAAATGTTTGGACGTTTGATCATAAACACTCATCTGCTTGGTCTGATGCATAGTGGTCACTACAGTGGACAGATATGTGGAAGCCATTTTAAACCATTTAAGACGTAGTAGCATCATGTCCCAACCACCAACTGGCGAACCCCCAAAGTAATGTCTACCATTCCATTTAATTGTTTTGTTTTGTTTTGAGATATTACATAATATATTTGAAAATGGGATGCACCATGTGCCTCAGGGATAAGTGTTAAATCCTTTTATTCTCAGAAAACCAGACAGCTACAAAAAATATTTTTCACCTAAATAGGATGTCAGAAATAGTTTTATCCAGATTTTAACAATATTTTTCTTATAAAAAAATGTTCTGTGACAGAAAATATATCAGTCCACCAAAGGGTATCATTCTGACTATGGGCCTATATATAGATTCTGCATTATTGTGTACGTTTCATTAAAATTATGATATAATTTACGCAGAAATACAGAAATATTCAATAGTCTTCAGATTTGATCATTTATTTCAATGCTTACAGCCTATATTTATTAGGTAATATAAAAGTGTAAGCATGTATACTGTATGAGTGCATGATTGCGTTCGAGTGTGTTTGTATTAGTGCTCACGTGTATGAATATTAATGAGTTGGAATATGAATATGAATTGGGAAACAAGTCAACAGGGAAAGAAATTATAGATCAATATTCCTATTACATATGAGATATTCTTATGAAAATGTTGGCAAGTTATTACTTTATCTTGGTTTGCCCCAAGAACACGTTAATATGCAAATTAGATGCAATGTATTATATATACACATTGTGTAGAATGGGAATACCAATTTAATATGGACATTTTACGCACACATTTCATAAAGTAAAATAGTACATCAAATCATTTGGTTATATATTTTATAACATAGTTGAGAATCATCTTTGAACAAAGTTTGGTTAAAAATAGCCTGAAACCTAAAAGCTGAAACCACTTACTTTTTTATTTTGTAACAAAAACGGATATGTAGCCTATTTTCATGTCTATTTATTTTTGTGTGTAACTTAGTCCTGGCGCCCTCTACAAAACGACATATAATAAAATACAAGGCATAGAATAAAATATGAATTTAATATTTTTATCTCCATTTGTTTCTTATGCTCCAACCAATGTAAGTTAATGACTGACATAAAAAATAAAACCACACAACTTTTTTTTCTGGTTCTCAGGAGGATGTGTGTGAATATATTTGCATTTGAAACCTTTACAATTTCCTCGTACAGGAAAAATCAAACCAGCATTCTGGTCAGCATGGACAATAAAAGTACAAATACACACTTCAGGACAATTTTTATCCAAAGCTTGAAAGCATTGTGTAGCTTTTAGAATCAAACGGGGTGTGGGTTACAGAAAAGTATGTATCTTATTTGTAATTTAATTTTGAGAATTTTTACATTAAATGTCCACGGTGTGATTATTTAGGTGCAAACTATTTATTATAACTACTGAAAGCAAAAGACTTGCGTTGTCACGTGGTTTAAGATACTTTTCTCAACGTTGGTCAGGAGCATTGAGTGGTATGTGCTCGATGAATAAAGCTTTTAAAATCATTTTTACAGATTACTGGTGCTGGTTTTCATTTGTATGTCAGGTTCGTTACATTATACTTCACAAATCGCTCTGAGATTTGAATGCAGCTCAGGTTTTCCGAGCCGAAGAGCGCCCTCTTGAGTGCTTTACCGTAAACTACACTGCCAATGAAAGCGATTGACAAAATCTCGCGAGATTCACTTGAACGAACGAGCGGGAGTTGTGAGACTTCCATTTTCAAACCCGAGACGAAAGAAGGGACGATGTTTTTCTTTGTTTACTTGAATTTTTATGTTGTTAAAGTTCTGTAGCTTTCGAGAATATTTCATTTTGTGATAAACTACGATAAGAAACGATGGATTCAACAGAAGACGACATATCTGCTCGGGTTTTGTTGAGGAGAGTTCTGCACACGGAGTTACCAAGGTCTCCTGTAACCTCTTCCACTTGAATAAAGTTAACAGTGAAGTTAAACTATATGTTTAAAAAGTGACTCAGCTTAATTTGAGATGTTTTGCTTGCTTTTAAGCGAATGGTTTATGCAAACTCGGATAAATACATACAAAAAACGGATAAATACAAAAATGGTATAAAGGGAAAGTTATATTATCAGTATACCAGTTGTAAACAGAAAGTTCTCAAGTCTGTATTTTTTATTCATTGTTACCTTTTAAAATGATTAACTAAAACCATCAGAGACACAACAATGCAAAACATCCATAGAGAGAGAGAATTTTAGAACTGATTTTCATCATTTCATCCCTGTAAACTTTGTGTATTGCTTTTATTTGTGTGTATAATATGTATTTAATATATATTTAAAATGTGTTCCAGTGCAACAAATGTACGGCGGAGCATGAGGCTGAAAAACACCCCTGGACTGGAGAGTCCTGGATCTGCCTTACGACACAGACTCAAGAAGAAGCTCCATGAGGTATGTGTGGTGTTTAAATAAACGATTTAATATGTTGCAAATGCATATTCTACATGATTACATTCCGAATACCTTTTTCTTTTGTTCAGAGTGCCTCCCTGTCACCCCTCCCTTCACCTAAACGGCCAAGGTCAATGGTGCCAAATACGAACCCTCCTGTGACGGTCCCGTCCCCAGTGTATGATGAGGACATGACCACTCGTGGTCTGCTCAGGGGGATCATTCAGATGGGTGAATAAGAACTCACTGCCAAGGTTTTAGGAATGAACTAATAAATGTCAAGAAACACATAGTTGTTCTTAACATTAAAGTTAAATAGTTAAAAATTCTTTAAAGAATTTGCATTAAATATTAGCACATTAACTTTACCAGCTCAAACATTCGCACAGGCAGTTGTCAAAAAAATGAAATGTTTCACCCATGTTTGTTTCAGAGACCGAAGCGTCACTGCTGATGTCTGGTCAGCCTGCACTTCAAGCATCAGAGCCGAATCCAGCCGAGGCCAGTGTGTCCAGCGCTGGAGAGAGAACGTCAGTACCTCTTCAATCACATATACTTGTAATCCTCTTCATGTTGTGCTCATGTGTCTGTGTTTTCCTCAGTGAAGGTCTGTCTGGAGTGGAGCTGTCTGATCTGACTCTGAACACTGAACCCCTGACGCATGTGGTCAGAGGACTGAGCCGCAGGAGACCACAGCGTGCCTTCAGTGCGTCAGCGTTCGAGAAACAGTTAGATCAACTGCCAGGTGCTTCACCCATTCTCACCTGTTATATGTGTTAGCAAGATTGTCTATGTTTGGAATTGAATACTGGCATTATACATATGAATTGGAATATTGGCACATAATTTGTCACATGTTCAAAAAGTAACTCGGTATCATATAACCCTTTTTCTATATTCTCAGAGGACGTCTCGCATGTCTCTCATAAAGGTGATATCTCTGAGGAGAAAGCGGATGCATCTCAAGATTTAGATTGGTCTTCTGGCTCAAAAAGGTAAATGCTTTGTCCATTATTTCCCAGTAGACCGGCCTAGTCACTAAAACTGGTATTGGAAAGTAAATATAATTACTAGCTTGTTAAATTTATTAGGAACTGCAGTATAATACATGGTAGGGTGGCACGATAATGGTTAAACTGATAATCACAATTATTTTGCTTAGAAATGATCAGTAAGCATGATTATTGTCATTAAATTTATTTTTGGATTTCATCAGAATTATTGCATTTTATATAAATACAAATAAAAAGAAAATGTCAACTCGCATGGTTTATTTGACCTCATTTAGGTTCTAGATATACTTATATAAAAACACACACTCTTTACATTTAAAGAACTTTCTCTCAAAAGCTAATCCAGCGAAATTCATAATATTGATTCTCACTTTTCCAAATGATGTTTAAACAACAGCGCAAGTGCATTTTTTCAGCACATCGGCAGTCATGATTGCAAACAGTATAGTCAAGGTTTATGTTTGGATTTGTTACAGTTCAGGTTTTCTTGCAGATTTAGTCACAGAAAGAAAACAGACTGGCTGTATTAAACTTTCATTTGAGAAAAATATCACAGTGGAGATGGCTGAACTCCAACTTACATGTTGGCAGGTGTTTTCAGATGATCAGTGCTGGGTTTGCACATGGTTGCCAGGTTGGGGAGATTAAGTAAAACACTGGGCTAAATGTATCCATTTTGGAAAAAGGTTGCAGACGAATATGCTTGAATAATGATTATAATACAATGTATCGTACTGTTAGAAGATGTAATGATTGATTGCACGATTGAGGCATTTTGTGTGATCCATTCAAATTTATTTTCTGGCAGTGGCCTGAACCTGACCTTGAAGACCCCATTTGTAGAGAAGCGCATTGAGAGGGTAGGGCTTCAGAGGAAGGTGTCCAATCGGAGGCTGCCATCTGTGGATGCATTTGATGAGGCCGTTCAGAGATGCTTGGAGCAGGGTCCCAACCAAGGTTTACATAAACTAAGTCTAAAATTTTGCATACGTCCTATTTTGTCTGTACCTGAAATGGTTTCTCTCTCCTTTAGATCACTCTTTATTTCAGGATGGAAAAACCCTAGAAGATTCTTCCTGGCAGAAGTTCACACTCTGCCTCAATGATGTCACAGAGCTTTACGTCCAGCCTAAAAAAGACGACACAGCGGGACCGTCTGCAGAGATGGAGAGGGATGCAGAGTACGAGAGAGAATATGAGCTTGAGAGAGCCAGTGAAATTCCCGACTCAGTACCTTTAATTCAAGAAGGAAAAGATCATGAGTTGGAATCACAGGATGATGATGAGGAAGATGTGGTGCCTTCATCCCAAGAGAATATGTTTTTGAGTCCAGAAGATGATATTGTACTTGCTCCAACGCAGGCAATGACAGAATCACTTCCTGAATCTCGTGATGTGGAGCTACAAGATCGAGAATTTGTGGAGGAAGTTGAGATTGGGAACGTTGTGGAAATTGAGGATCAGAAAGTTGTGGAAATTGAGGATGACAGCATTGAGGATGAGAATGTTGTGGAAGATGAGGTTGAGGAAGTTCAGGATGAGAATGTTGAGGAGATCGAGGATGAGGAGGTTGTTGAAGCTGAACATAGAACAGAGAACCCAGACACCTCACAGTATCTAGAGCGAATAACTCGTAGAGCTCACCGCTCAGAGGGAGGAGGCTCTGTCTTGGGAATTCCAGCTGCCACGAGAGTCACAAAGAGTTTTGGAGCTGGATTGAACCCCAGAGAGAAAGGTGAGGACTGCTTGAAGTGATAAAATCACAAAGTTCTTCACCAGTGACTAGGGCTGTCTTTCCCTTGCGGTAATTTTGAGTGGCTCAATAGTGTGATATGTGGTAATATCGACATATATATAAATATAAAATGTGTGTTGCGATGTAACAATGTCATATTCAGAAACCAATGAAAACGTAACTTAATAGAGTTTTGAAACAGGAGGTGAAGTAAACAGAAGAAAATACAAAAAAAAAAAGGTCCACATAACAGAACATAGACCTGACAATAAGATCGTTGGGCTATTAATTGTTAGCCTATATGTATAACAGTTAGTTCTGATCCTCGAATCTGATTGGACTTTCTGTGGATATTTCACCTGTGCATTGTGGACGGGCTGTTCATTCAAAGAGAGATGTAATGAAACAAGCTGTTAAAATCATTTTAACTTTGAGCGCCACTTTAGAAGGCTCAGCTGACCAGCAATGCGTCGATGCTAAGATAGAGGTTTCACTTTCCTTGGACATGACAACCTTTTTTCACGAATATGACTCCGGCTGAAGGATAGACGCAGGTAATCGTACGCGCTCAGTCGATCTCTCTCTCATTCATTCACTGTCTGTTTAGGCTTAAGTGCACATTTACGGAGCCTCTGTACAAATCAGCATAGTACACATTGTTATCATTACTAACTTATTTAATATTCGGTACACATGTACGAAGTGTAAAACAAGAAGGGCATAACCTTATGGAAAAAGAAAACGCAAATATCGCGGTTCTTGCATTCTTCTGCAGTTGGCTTGTCAATAGACAAGAGAGGTATTATGATATTGCGGTTATCGCGACCCTACCAGTGACAACTGAAATTAATGGATAATTCAGTTTGTGTGTAGGCTAAAAACGTAATGTGTTTTTCTTCAGATCTTTTGGATTTTATAGATGGGAACAGAGACTTACAGGACTTTTCAGATGAAGAAAGAGAACCACCGGGCAGCCCTGAGTTTCCTCAGCTCCACCCTGCAGCAGAGCTCAGCACACCAGAGCAGAGGTCACAGCAACATGAGGCTAGTCTGGCTGAGGAAGATGTGCCAGAGTTTGAAGAAGATGATGACGCTCCAGAAGAACTAAACCAATCAGAGGAGGAGGAGGAGCTGATGGACTCTGGGTCAGCCAGTCAGAGCCCTGAACTTGCACAGGAAGAGGAGGAGGAAGAGGACGATGATGACGACGCTCTTAGTGCAGGTGACTCCCACTTTCACATCCAGTTGATCTTAGTGAATCAGTGCATTTGAATGAATCATTTCAATAAACTGGTTTACCAACATCCAGTTTTACGTAGTGAATCCGTTCATTTAATGGACTGGTTCAACAACACCTAAATCTTTTAGTATGAACGTTCATGATAGTATGAAAGTTGGGACGCAGGGTCAGTTAATTTGAGTGAATCATTTCAATGAACTGGTTTAACAACATCCAGTTATACGTAGTGAATCAGTTCATTTAAGTGAATCATTTAATGGACTGGTTCAACAACACCTAAATCTTTTTAGCAAGTCAGTTAATTTGAGTGAATCACTTCAATGAACTGGTTCAGCAATATCCGATTCATTTTAACAAATCAATTCATTTGAATTGTTCATTTCAATGAACTAGTACAGCAGTGGTGAACTCCGGCCCTGCAGAGTTCACCTCCAACCCTAATTAAAACTCACCTGCCTGTAGCTTCCTAGTAACCCTTCAGACCTTGATTAGCTTGTTCAGGTGTGTTTGATTAGGGTTGAAGCAAAACTCTGCAGGGCTGCGGCTCTCCAGGACCGACGTTCGCCACCCCTGAACTAGTATAACAACCAATACATTAAAAATGTGCACAAATTTCTTTGTACTAAAATAATTAAATTCTTCATTATCATTACTTATGATAAATATTTATTTATTGTTAAATGTATTACAATCTTTTGAGTAGGGATGCACCATCGTGCATCCCTACTTTTGAGTGAATGATTTGTAAGTCAGTTTTACCTAATTATTATAACTAGGATAACTTGCATTTACTTAAGCGTTAAGTGCTTTTTTCTTTTATTTCAGAACTGTCCGTGAAAACTCCTGCGTTTGTAAGACAGAAGAGAGTTTTCACAAGTTCTATTGAGCAGGCTATGCCAACAGCCCTTAAAGAAGTGAATGCTGGGTAATTTACCATTAACATTCCTTTTCCCGATGTCCATGTTACAGTGTCTTTTAATGCAAATCTAAAACCCATTTATCTCAGTCCTGCCCCTCAGGTTGCCAAACGAGCCCCCAGACAGAAGCGTCAGACAGGGGTTGATGTTCTTCCCAAGAGTTACGTCATGAGTATGTTCAAGCACTTCGCCAAAACCAGGGTGGCCAGTGACATCTACCCTGCCATTAATGAAATGTAAGCATTTAGGGAACAATTATTTTCCCTATTGCAGCATGAATATTTGAAGTTACATCTCCTCCAATGTTTGTGTGTGTTTTTTTTAAATTTAGTTTTTAATCCTCTTAGTCTTAAGAAGTACTTTGAACGGCTTGCAGATGATCTGGAAGCGTACTCTACTCACGCCAAACGTAAAACTATTGAGGTTGAAGATTTTGAGCTCCTCATGAGAAGGTAAGTATTAAAGGAATAGCCATCCAAGATGTAGATGAGTTTGTTTGTTCATCAGAACAGATTTGGAGAAATGGAGCATCACATCACTTGCTCACCAATGGATGCTCTGCAGTGAATGGGTGCCGTCAGAATGAGAGTCCAAACAGCTGATAAAAACATCACAATAATCAACACCCAACTCCAGTCCATCAGTTAATGTCTTGTGAAGTGAAAATCTGTGTGTTTGTAAGAAACAAATCCATCATTAGGACGTTTTTAAGGTTAAACTGTCACTTCTGGCCAAAATATGAGTCCATAATAACACCCCATCCCCATTTGTCCTCTCACAACAAAATTCACAGACATACTTGTTTAGAACTGTTAATTTGCACATTTCTCTCCTGATTCCGACTAGATAACTTTTTTACTGGAGAAACAATATTATGGATTGACTCATTTTTTTAGACGTGAGCAATGGTTTGAAGTTAAAAATGTCTTGATGTTTCTTAAAAACACGCAGCTTTTCGCTTCACAAGATGTTAATTGATGGGCTGGAGTGGTGTGGATTACTTGTAGATTATTGTGGTGTTTTAATCAGCTGTTTGGACTCTCATACTGACGGCACCCATTCACTGTGAGTCATTCACTATTCCTTTAAGATGGATGGAGTTATATTACTTGTTTTTATGTCAAATTGTTTATCATGCTCAAGTACTTGTTTCTCTTGTTTTTCTCAGGCAGGGCTTTGTGACAGACAGCACGCCTGTCAATATACTGATAGAGAAATATCTTCCGCTGGAGTATCGGAAACTTCTCATCCCGGTGGCCACTAGTGGAAACAAAGTCATCCCAAAACAAAGAAGGTGAACATGCAGATGTGACGGCCATCTTTAATCACTGGAGAAGGCGGCTTCGCATATCTGCATGTGTTCTTGTAAATTTGTTCATATGTTCAAAACAATAAATGCCTTGATTTGTAAATAAGGATTTGTGTAATATATATCTGCTATTTGTTGCAGCACCATTAAGAAAATAAGCTTTCAGTTCTTTGTATGTTTTAGCAATTTATGTATATTTTCCAAAACAAAAATTAAAAAACCACATGAAATTTACAGTCCCTGTCTTATTGTGTATGATTCATCTGCAAACAATATTCCAAAGACAACTTGTTTTTCATAAGCTTTTCTTTAAATAATTATCCTCAGAAATATTTGTCCCAATATATAAACCTCAAATATAAGTCCTCTGATTCTGTGTTGGAAATTATTTGAAATATGCTTGTTTGGAATAGAATACTGGAATATAGGGTATTCCATGCATACAGTTTGGAATATACCGTGCATGTATATTCCATAAAAATAATATTAAGCAGGGATGTGAGTTTTACATATACAGACTTTCACTGCACAAGCTATCTTTAATGTCTCTGGGTTTTTCGTCAAAATAGCGCCATGATTTTAAATGAAGACATCCATAAATACTTAAAGAAAATGATTAAATATTTATTTTTATTTTACAGTGCAATAGTAATATATTTCTGTATTGATTAGACATTTGATAAAATATTTTTTAATTACTATAATAGTAGTAATAATAATAATTCTAAATTCATGTTGAATGGGAAAAAGATAATTTAATATGCAAAATATGCAATCTAGAAACGTGTTTGCATGATGTGTCCACTAGGTGGCAGTCACACTCCATCACAGGTGTTTAATAAAGGTGAAAGTGGTGTTGAGTTATACACCAGTATTGTTCATTATAAAATGGAAATTTCCAATCTTGGATGCTGATTGGTCAATTCAACATTCCAAAACGCACATCATAGTATTCTCTAGTCTTACCTTATTTATGATTAGATCTCATGGAAGGTTTACACTTCATTTACACTTAGTCAAGTGACTGTTTTTAAAAGCAATAAGGACATAATATTTTGTGAATATTGTTATGGCTTACTAGAAGTAAGCACATTTAAATTTGCTGTCTTGTTTTACTCGTACGTGCTTTCCACTATCCAGCCAAACCTTGACCTCTTATTCACAATCTATCAGCATCTCTTGCTTAAATAACCACTTTAATGGGATGCAATGATGCATATAAGAGTTTAGGTGAAGTTCGAGCAAATTAACTAATGCACCGTTTCTTAATCTTTCCCTCCAGCTTTTTTCCCTTCACTAATGACCGAAGCAGACGTGTGTGTGAGTTTTACAAGGCCATGTCTGTTTTTGAGATTTGCAGCTCCAGACAGATGCTGGATTCCCGATTCTTTCGAAAACTCTTTCAATATCTCTTGCCTTTATTAGTGTCAGACTGGATTTAGATCCAAATCTTTCTATTCCGGATCCGGCTCGTGTTTCACACCGTTTTCATTGTGTTGTCGCTATAGGTCGCGTCAGCTATCCAGATGTTGGGTCCCTGGGGCCCTCTGGGGCCCCAACCTCCTCCTCTTCTTCTTTACCTCCTCCTGCAAGCAGTGACCCTTCCACATTCTCCACAGTATGAGTCAGCAGTGCAGCGGCTCCAGCAAACTCCATCTATCATGTTGAGTTTCATTACAATGTAGCACTTAAACCAAACATTGCTCGAAAACGAACCTCTGACAAGCCAATCTGTTCTCTGTCTCCTTCATAAGACCACAAACGTGGGTCACACAGCGCAGCGGCAGCCAGAACGCTCGCGTCATCTAGTGCATGACTCGCCGGGTGAGAAATTATCCTCCGTGTGGCTGGATCTGTTAGCGAACACGTGTGAAATTAGCTGATTTATTGTTTGAGATTAAATTTTCAGTGATTGAGAGAGTGATGTGTAAAATTGAAAAACCACTCGATCTATCTTTCAAAGTCAGCAAAGATTGACCCCGTTTACTGTCTTTATACAGTAATTCTAAAGAAAAAGCAGAATCTTTCATCAAAGGTAACTCTGAACAGCTGACATCATGGAGCCCTTATTTTTTTAGCCCCTCACCTCCAACTACTTGCCATATAGAGACACTTTTAACCAATTCCTGATGGAAAAATAGTTTTTTTTCATGTGGAGAAAAGAGATATATCACATTATGCGACTAAAATTGTTTGTAGATGTTTCATGTTGACTTTACCAAGATTTGTAGTTATCTCAACACGGTGAGCACTATATTGAGGGGAGCAATGTCTGAAGTAACTGCATTCCACTAAGAAGTGATCATCCCTATTCTCTGTTCCCTGGAAAGGCTCCACAGTGAGAGCTTTGGAGGTTGAAGGGTGTAGGGGCTCATTTGAAATAGCATACTGGAGAGATCTTTTATATAGCAGAAATAATCAGTAGTATGCTATTCTGAATTCAGCCCGAATCATTTTGTTTTGCATTTCTGTTTGAAACGCCTCACACAGTTTTTGACATGAAGAATACATTTTCTTAATTTCAGTTAGCAATGTTTTTTGTTTGTAAACACTTAGTGTAGCTCACAAAAGGATAAATGTGGTTTGCAGCCAAGTATCGACAGAAAATTTGCTCTTGTAGACTGTATTTTTTACATTTTATGTCAGGGGTCTCCAAACTCTGTCCTGGGGGGCCGGTGTCCTGCAGAGTTTAGCTCCAACCCTAATCAAACCCACCTGAACCAGCTAATTAAAGTCTTACTAGGCATACTAGAAACTTCCATGCAGGTGTGTTTGAGGCAAGTTGGAGCTAAACTCTGCAGGTTCGGAGACCTCTGATTTATGTCATTCTCTATTGGTGAGATGTGACATCAGCCTAAAGCCTTCTTCTGGACAACGTAGAAAAGACATTAGCAAGTCGTCCAGCTATCTGTCGTAAATCTCAAAGTTTGAATGGTCAACTCGTCCAAAACAAACAAGTAGTGGGGTCTCTCGTTCGTGGCTGGTCACTAGGCGAGATGTTTTCATATGGTTCTGTATCTGTTTTCGTGGTGTTGTGTGAATGTTTTCTGTTCTGGCTGCAGGAGAATTTTCCTTGTTACTGGCGCTTTTTCTTGTCCGTTCCTGCCAGAAGTTGGACCCAGTGGACCCGAAACCAATTTCATCATCACTGCGGGACTGAGTCACACTGCTACTCAGCAAAGAGAGTTAGAGAAAATCTGCTCGGCCAAAAAAACATGAATACTACAGACCAGATGGGAATAAAGTGAAAAGTAAATAGGAAAACAGAACGAAGGACAAAGATATAGAAGGTTCACGAAAACTCGCTTTCTGGTCTGGTCTGGTCTGGTCAGAGCTTTGCACACAGGCAAGCCCATTCATACTTTCTTCAGAATATGCAATCTAGTTAGTCATACTTACCGCAGGCGATATTAGCCTATGCAATCTATCAGTTTAATATGGTTTTAATCACACATTTTTGTTCTAGGTTTCTGCCGAATGGACCATGACATTTAAAATCCCAAGTCTCAAAAACCGCAAAGACGAGTTATTTCCAGAGAAGGTGAGGGTTAGAACTATGTTTCCCAGAGCACAATGTGGCCTCTGTTCTATGAGTGGACTTTGTAGTGTCCCAACCTCATTTTGAGTCTTTATGCAGTATGTTTCCTCTAATAAAGATGCCACGGTCCAGATCCTCACAGAATCCCTCTCGCTGGTCCAGGTCTGGAACATTCCAGAACATTCTTTTACCTTTTCCATTTTGAGCTTTATGTCTCTTTAAAGGAATAGTTCATTTAAAATTAGGCCATTTCTGACTTTCCAAACCTGTATGACCTCGTTTCATGAATGGAAAGCGGGAAGAGAAATTCTGGATAGTGTGCCGGTCACTGTTTTCCATGCAGTTACAAAGAATGGACACGGGAGCTTCCAAGATTTCAAAAAGGACGCTTTAGTACGTAAAAACAATTATTTTAAGGTATCCATATGATTCATACAGACTTCTGAAGTCATACGGTAGCTTTGTGTGAGACAGGGTTATTATAGTTTACTAAAATTAAAACCATTAAACAAAAATCATTACTTGAAATAAACTAAACCTTAACAGCAATAGAATAAGATCTAAAAAAAAAAACTAAAACTTATTTTATTTCAGCTAGTTGCCCAGGCAGTATTTCCTATTTTAATTTAGTTAACTGAAAATAAAAATGTATATAAACTACATAGAAAAAAACAAAAAATGACAAAACAAACAACAGAATTACAAAAACTGTAACTCGAAATGTAAAGTGAATATTGATTTAAAAATATTAATGAAAACTATAAAACTAACTCAGTAATACGAAAATAACGCTGGTGTGAGGAACAGACTGAAATTAAGTATTTTTTTAATAATTCATAATGTGTTTGCATCAGTCTGATTTGTTCAAACCAGATTTGGTGCATTGGATTTGTTGAATCAGACATTGCTACAATGTCAAGATTTTCAGTGAGTAATTACTTACATTTTCATCTATTCTTCACAAAATATATCATATGCATCTGAATGTAGTATGTATGAACTATTTTTATGATGCTTTATTTTTTCTTTTTTTCTTGTCATTTTGGATTTCTACAGCTCCAGTCGTTATTCTCTTTAATTGAGTTGAAAACCATGAGCTCCACAGAAGAATGAAAGTCATTCAGTGAGTAATGATGGTGAGCAAAGCTTTTACTTTTGGGTGACCTATCCCTTTAAGAGGTTAATGACATCTTAGAGTGTTTCTGTATCATCATGTCTGCAGTTGACAGTCAGACCACCTCTAGCATACTGAGCGGTCCCGACCAATGACCGCATCCCCCGCCCCCCTTTAGAAAGATGGGGTGATGGATGGAAAGTCGGGATGATGACTGTTTTTCCTCTGTTTCGCTCACTCTGCACCATGTTTCCCCCTCCCCTATTGACTTTCTTTCATGTCCTGCTGAAGATCTACAGTTTCCTGCCTGAATGTACACGTGGAACTCTTCTCATGTTCGTTATCCTTCTATCCCTCTTATATTCTATTTCCTGTCTTATTTCGTTTTCATCTATCCACACACACATTCTCTCTTTCTCTCTCTCTCTCTCTCTCTCTGTGCGTGTGTGTCCCTATTTTAATTCCACTCAGGTTTTGGAAACAAACTAATATTTTGAAAACTACTGTTTTGCAATGCGCTTGATTTGACCTTTGGACTGCTATTACACACAGGCTATTAATATCGG